TTCTCCTTTTTTTTTTTTTGTTTTTTTTTGAGATGCAGATTTTCAGCTTTTGTGACAGCCACTCATCAAAATGCTCAGAGACAAAAGCTCAATCAACTGGAGTTTGATTGTGAAAAGGAAAATGGCAGCCCACCCCGTTTCAACCTTCGAGCCATTAGATTATTAGATCTTGGCACTACGACACCCAACAGATGTGGGTGAAAAAGCAACAAAGGAAAAAGCAGGCAGATCCTAATAGATAAAAGAGTTGGGAATAATGGCAACACATGGTACGCTGGAAGTGGTAAAACAGGTTTTGATTACTAACCACATGAATCAATCAGTTAAAATATTAACATAAAAGCACATCAGCTGCTCAAATGTCACTTCATTGTTTCAGGACCACGATGATTAGTTGATCAGTGGAGTCGTGGAATCAACAGAATCAGCAACAATTTTAAAGCACAAATTCACTGGTTCAAGATGTACAAATGTGAATCTTTCTGGGGTTTTTCTGACTTTTCTAAAATAGATAACTATATATATATGATTTTAAATACATATATATTATATTTATGTGGGTTTTGGACTGTTGGTCTAACTTGGGCTTTGGTGGCTTGTGATGGGCATTTTTCACTATTTGCTGACAGTCTATAGACCAAACCATTAATGAATTAATCAAGAATTTAATCTGCAGATAATCCTTATTTTTATTTTTAATTGATTTATTAATTATTTTTTTATTAGAGCCCGGATATGGGAATCTTGAGACAGATATCAAATTTTAGATGGGAAAAAAAAAAATCACAGATGACCTATATAGCTATAGAAAGATATAATTTTTGAGCTGGAAGGAAAATAGACCTTTTCTATGTGGATTGTGCACCAATATGACTCTGCAAGGGTACTTAAAATGCTGCTTTCTTTATTTTAAATAACTGAACATATACATTGTGAACCAACTCTCACTGACACTGCTGAGAGCTGCTTCTTCTCTCTTACTGTTCTGCACAGTATTGTAAAGCACTGCACACTCTGCTGGATAAACCTTGCAGTTTCACCAGTATGTTAACAGAAGCATTTCTTCAAGTTTTCATATTGGTACATATCAGAAAACATACACCAATACCATTACAATACCAATATGTCTGAGAAAGGCCAATATCAGGCGACCGATATATAGGTGGGGCTCTGCTTTTTATTAGAAAATGTCCACCACCATTTCCCAAAGCCCAAGGTGACGCCGTCAGATGTCAAAAACACAAATATATTCAATTTACTATAATAGAAGATTAAGAAAACCAGCTAAATATATTTCAGAAGCTGAAACCAGTAAGTTTTGCTTGATAAATGACAATAATAATTAATGTATTATCAAAATTAGACCAACAAATCAATTAATGGACTAATCATTTTGCTCTAAAATGAGTCTGAATTTATAAATGTCCAGTAGGGGTGTAACAATATGCTTTATCGGTTCATAAAAGGATCTCAATTCAGTACACGTGTTATGTTTAAAATCTGAACAATGCAGTCCTGTGGTTGCTAAGCTATCTTCTGTTGTTTTTATATTGTAAAACACTGCTTTTATTTTGTGTTGTACATTCTGCTGAGCAACCACCGAGTGCGTCAGAAAACTACAGTTTCAATCAAGTCTTGTGCTACATTTGACGGTGATTTTTCGACTACAAATAATGTTTGCTGTGTTAAAATGAAAATGATGTGAGACTGATATGTCCCATGAATCATTACACCCCTAATACCAATATACATATATACAAATATGATGCCCACTCAGTCCAACCTTATATGAACATGGTTAGTAATCAATGATAAGGAGCTACTGTATGTGGAGCAGCAGGTCACAGTATTTAACAGGCATGATGCAAAACGGACACAGCACTGGACTGCACATCGAGCGAATACAACGCAGCTATGATGTTTTATGCAGGAATTTTATGCAAGAAGTGAGCCCAGCCATTAAGAAGGCATCGAACTCTACTAAGAGCTTTGCAACTCACTGCAAAAGGTACAGCGTTTCTATGATTCTGTAAAGTTGTTTTACTGCCTTGATTTTTTTCCTGCGGTTCTCCTCCAAAGATGCTTTATTTAAAAGGCCACCCTCTCTCTTATGGCAGTCCGTTGTGTTCTTTATGGATATGTGCACACAGACAGTCCCAGATTTTGAGATCAATAACAATCCGTCTAGCACCACCATCAGCCCAAAGGGAATGTACTGTATCAAATGTAATTTGGCCAGTAATGCTTTAAATGTTACGCGTGTTAACAGTTTGTCCTGTTTTGGGGTCAAAATGAGTGCGTCGAGTAGTGTTGTCAACGTCAGCCAAGGTCACGAGACAAAATGTTTCGGTAGACACAGCTTTGTCGGGTACATGCTCATCAAAGCCCTACCACGGTTGTATCTTTTAGGAGCCTTTAGCAGGGCCGATCCACAGAAATGTAACTCTCCAGTGTACATTTCCACCTCCAGTTGTAGTGCCAGCAGTTTCCTTTTCTGTCAGAATTGCAAATAATATTTCAAACTGTCTAATAATGATGTTACAATTGGGTAAAGGAGATCAAATACTCACACAATGTTTGGTCACCATCTGTGTGCTCAGTTAAAATAACTCCTCTAGTGCCACCGTCAGGCCAATGTTGAGGCCACATTGTGCCAACAACTTTTACACAGAGCCTATAGAAAGACTCTTAAACTGATCTCTGATAAATATATAAGATAAATGTCCAGAAAAAGTCTAAAAAATTGTACCCAATAATCTCCAGTTTGACTTCTGTCTTGTTCTGCCAGTTAATCCAATTTCCCTACACTCAGCCTTTCATGGTTATTCAACAGGATTTGAATACAGACAGATGAAGTCGGCTTCTGCTGAATGATACAGGATTTCCAGTTAAGCTTTGTTTTGAAGATGTTACAACACATATTCCAAATTCCAACCGTGTTTCATTGTTAAATGATTATAATTTACATCATCACTTTCATTCAGTTAGCTTAAACTAATAACGCTGCTGCTTTTAAAAGTCACATGTCAGCAGAGCGGATGTATGTGCCACGGATTCCACATTCGACTGCAATAATACACCCTTGTACTGAAATGTCAAGGTTCCCATTCTTTTTCACTAATCATTTTACAGGACCTTTTTTTTGACAATACTGGACAGCACTTGCTTACAAATGGTCACATAAACTGCGGTTTCAGGCGAGCTGACTACATTTATTTGGCCACAAATTAAATTATCCAATGTTCACGTACAATTCACGTCAGTGTGTAATGTATTTATCAACAACAGCAACCAGAAATGTGATTATTAAAATGGCGTATGCATGTAGGTAAGAGAATTTTGCTCACAGCTTTGGAAAAAATAGACTCAATCCCGAAAAGATCACTGCAAGTCAGTTCCACTTTGCATCTGGTAAACCCTCTTTGGATGAACTGTATGACACTCCAATCAGCAGTCAAGTTTCAAACTAAATTTGCATCTAGGTTTACATAGGTGCTCTGAGTGAGAGACTGAAATACAGTAAAGAATTTCGATCACAACACAGATTATTTCCAGGATATTTGGTCATTTTAATCCATTTCCAGGTTGTTCAGAGATCTCTGAATGTGCATTAAAGCTACTCTCTGTGTAAAGCGTTTGAATAATATTAGAAATAAATCAAGGCAGTGACATAAATGCAGAATATCTATGTTGTATGGTTATTCTGCAGAGACAAACAATCAGGATCCCCTCGCCTCTGCTGGGTCAAAAGTACTCTTTAGTCTTCACACAAATTCCTGCAGAGCCAAACACAAGGCATAACATAGCTCTAATTTCATTTAAGGACCAAACTAGAAATGTCTTCGCTGAGAACAAAAAGCATGCAGCGCTACATTTCTACAACACTAATGCTGAAGGCCCTTTCAGACTGGAAAGTGACAACTGCAGCATATTGGTCTCATCGCTATAACACAGAGGTTTGCTTTGTATCTAGAATGACGTAGTCCAACTGGGCTGGTTCTCATGAGCAGCAACTGGCTTCGCTATCAACAGGCTGTCACTGAGATGAACTTGCCACTTCCCAGTCTTGCGGGGCCTTACGCTGTCACCATAAAGGGTGAAGCATGCATGTCCTATCTAAAATTAATGACCAGACTGTGAAGCCTAAGAATAAAATGTGTAAATATTAGGCCACGACAAGACAGACGTGTCCTTTGGGCATGTCTCTGCTTGTCCTCCTTGGTGCTCTTAACAAACAGCTAGCGTTTATGTCCAGAAATGAAACATCCAAGAGTGCAGTTGTATTGCAACAAGGCAACATATCCTCGACAACATTTTGAAAGGAATGAGCATTATCAGGCTTTCTGACTGAAAAGAGCACAGCGCTGTAGTTCAGGTACCAGTGAGATACATTTGAAACATATTTCATTGGCCAACGCAGTGCATTGCCAGATATTGCTCCACTGTGTTGCAGCAAAAGTTGAGTCAGGTTCAACTTTCTTTGCCAGATAATCCTGTCACAAATGAATGAGGGTGCTATGTTTTTTTTTACGCCTTGATAATGTCTGTACATGGACTCAAAGAGGTCCGAGACTATACGTAGAGAAAACATGCATCAGGCCTACTTGCAGGAGTAAAGAATAGAAAAAAATAAAATGTCAGCTAAATAATGTGTCAGGTCCAGAAACAGTGGCCTCAATGCATACACACTCTACAGTTGTTGAGTTTCGTATTTTAGTGTGATGTAGTTGTTGAAATTGAGCGGGATAAGTGAGTTTAAGTAGAATCAGGTGGGCAACCACCAGAAACACAGCATGCAAGCGAGATAATCTGGCTAGAACAGCTGCTTTGTTTAGCTTTTCGGTTCACGGTGCTTGCCTTCAATTTTGCGAGGGTGGGGTAACATGTTGGCAATGCACAGCTCGAGGATGATGCTGTACACGGCCTGTTAATGCTGTATGTTAGGCCACAATGAATCACCGGGCCGCCATGCATAAACTCATTCCGTTCCAGGGAAAGGCAGAGCTTGTGCTTGCTGTCTCCATTCATATCTCTCAGAGCTTTTTCTCTCTTGCACTGGGTAATAAAGTGGGTGGGTGAGGGGTGGCAGCTCCACCCAACAGACCCAGCCCTCAACATTTAAAAAATAGCAACGAGGTCACTGCTACCCTGGGTTGTATGTTGGATAGATGACAAGTGTTATTTAAGATCACTAATTAGGGTGCAAAAGAGGCTTTTTGTTGCAGATTCAGTGGTGTGCACTAACACTTTAAATGGGGAACCTCAAACCTAACCACCATCCGGGGTGCAGGGAGGACCAGGACCAGAGAGGAGGGAGCACTGGTGTCTCACATCTCACATGGGTCATCTTTCAAATCACGCCTTTAGGTACACGTGTGGAAAAAAAAAAAGTTTTCATGTGCCATTTTAAGGGGGAAAAAAGGAAAAAAGAGGGACCTCTTGCACCCAGGACAAAAGACCCAGTAGGACCGTGGTCAGCCGCTCTTTTTCCTTTCCCTTCTCTCTCTCTCCCTCCCTCTCTGTTCCCGGTGCACGCCACTGCTCAGAAATAGCTTTGACTGTGGGTGTAGGTCTTGCTCATTTTCTGAGATAGATGTTTTAAAGCGACTCCGGAACGAAGCAGCCGGCCGCAGTAATGTCGTTAATGAAGCTAACTCAATGCCTCGCGTTAGAAATGACAGTGACACGAGAGAAAACAATGATTGGTAAGCAAGCTATCACACAAACAATGCCAGAGCAAAGCCAGAAGAAAGAGTTTGAACCGAGCCAGGCGTTACTTACAGTGACCATAGTACATCCTGTTCAGATAACCGCCAAGTTTATAACACTAAGCTCATTTTTGTTCCTGCCAACACTTTGTCGGAGTAGTGACAGCAGACATATGCCCTGACCCCGGGTAACATCACCGTACGAACCGGCGACACACACGTCAACACGCTCCGGGTTTGTTGGGGTTTTTTTTTTTTTTACACTTACACGTCATGTTTTACGATTCAAATCAAATTACGGACTGAAATCGTCCAGCAAGCAAAATGGGACTCACCAGTGAACTCCGATCCGCAGGTTACAAGGTGTTAAAATTTGCTGTTTTCCGGCTGAGTCACCCCACCCTCAAACGCCCATTCTCAGTTGACGGTGAGCTACGAGCGGGCTGCTGATTGGTCGACGCGTCATCGGTGGCGCAGCTGATTGGTCCGCTCATGACATCTGTCGTGATTCTGACCAATCACGTCTTTATGCGTTGATCATGGCGAACAGCAGACAGCTTTCCGTCTTGTCGCTCTGTGTCACATCACTTTTCCTATAGAAAAACGTCAAATCTGATCCTGGATTGACACGTATGTATTACATTTAAATATGCCGAGATCCACCATCATCTAAAAAAAAAATTTTTCAGGTAAAATAGTAAAATATCACAATGTATAACAACATTTTTCAAAAGGAAAACGTAGACAAGTGTAAAAAAATAATGATACATATTCTGAAAACCTGCTTTTAGTACAAGATATTGTGTTGTTGTGAGTTACAATGCTAAAAAAATGTTGACTACAGACAGCAATTGGTTACAATTTTAATATTACTTTCATTGTTAATCAAGCAAAAATTGCAACATCAAAAAGAAGGTGAAGATTTGCTGCTTGTCTGTGTTTTATATTATTTTAAATTAAATATCTGAACATTTTTAACTGTTTATTGGACAAAAATGAGGTTGAATTTGTCACTATTATTTAGTCATTTATTTATGTACATTTAATTGACAAAATCACAAATTGACAAAAAACCTTATTTGATAATAAATGTCATTTTATGTGTACACTACAAATAAACTATACGTTCTTAAATTCCTGTGGGGAAACTATCTGTATGATTATTAAGAGCCTTGCTGAGCCAGCAACTTAAAGATTTATTGTGGAAGAATTGTTTTGTTTTGTTTTTTTGATCACCAAAATATACAAAGAGCATCACTGTTTTCACAGAGGTAAAATACAGGGCACAAAGTTTGCATCTTTGGTCAAATAAACCTGATGTTCAGCCACAGACACAACTGCATTCCTCATGTTTTGACACCAGGGTGCAGTCATGCACTTAATACAAGACAAAAGACATCTGGAAGAGGCTTGGTATGAAATTCATCACTATTATAGCTGCTTTTATAACTATGCTGATAGAGTACACACAACTTAGACCAGACAGGAAAAGGACATATGGTGGGAAGACTTAATTTAGATTGTGGTAATTATGTAAAGAACTGGTGGATGGATGTTGTACATCTATCTTATAGCCTAAATACTTTCTTTAGGCTAAATGTTGAATGTACAGGCTTGTGTTGAAAAGTACTGATAATATTAATAAAAAAGACTAATATCAGTTAATTCATATGCTTATAATATTGCCTGAGCCTGCGAGCAAAATTTCTCCCTACTAATATTCGCATAACCATGAGATTCAGTGACGGATGGCTGCTTTTATGTTACCTCAGATGGTGAGTCTATGTGATGAATTATAGACAATAGGTTGAGGGCAGCCAACAGTGCATTTATGACAGATAATAAATGTGCACTGCCAAACCAAACCAATTGAAGTGTGCTGTTCTGGAATGGAAAAAGAAAGAGAAAAAGGAGTTCATAGGCAAAAATTGTGATATTGTGTCAACACTTTATTATGCATCACCACCATGCAAAATCACTGCTATGAACTTGCTCAAAAATCAAACTAGATATATTTCACACATTTATGATTTTATATTGGCTTGCCACTTTTCCCAAAGTGACTAAGTAAAGTTTCACACACTCTCGGAAAATACATCAAGAGTGTGTATGTTGGTGTGCAAGTCACACAGAGATGTGTGTGTGAGAGCATTGACACTGACAAATGAAACATGATCTATGGTTGAACCTTAATTCATAAACCATTGATAGTAAACACAATTTGTTCAATGCCCTTACCAGTGTAAACCTTTGAATTTGATCGTTTTGGAAGTCCCTATGTTACATCTTTTTCACTATATCTTAAAACAGTCCCAGATACTAGAACCAATCCATCTACATCTTATACTTAATTGACAATTTATATGTAGACAGTGTACATATTTGCAGACAAAATCACTTCCCGGCATCACATTAAATGAGTGTAGCCTCATATGTCCAGTGAATTCACCTTGCATTGCTGCTGAACAGGTGTGTTTTGTTGTTAGCTACATGCTGCATTGCCAGTTTGAATGAGCTCCTTTGAGAGGACATCCAATCAGCTAAGGCAGTGTGCATTATTATTATTACTAATGTATCAAATAAAACAAACGTATCTGACCGGCCTGCTCCAAAAACAAGTCAAAAAACAATACAAAAGCCACTCAACAGCAACAGTAAGAAATCTATGGAATAGTGGTAAAAGTCTGAGTTATACATTTACAAAATATTGCAATTTTTATCATCTATCAGCTCCAATGTAATCTCAGGTTTATATTTAAAATCAGACGACAAACAAACACTTAAACCTGGTTCAATGTTTTCAGAAATATGAGCATTGGAAAGAATCGGGTTTGCCACCCTGTACCAACAGTGTAGTTGTACATTTGCTTGACAACTCATATAAAAAGGCTAAAAATTAAGAAATAATTCCCCAAGTCATGTGGTTTTTATGGCACCTGTGGTGTAATAGACAGCTCACTAATTAATCTCTTTACATCAGCTCACAGTATTACCTTAAATATGTGGTTGGTTAAAAAATATATCTTTACATAAATGTTTTCTATGGTTGGATTCAGCCATTTATTCAACTTAAATTCTTCATATCTTCAGTGCTCTGTACCGTCGGCCCAGTGTTTTCTCGTCCAGTGTCTTCTACTATTGTTGCTTTTCATACTGCTCACCTGTTAAGAGTACAGATCATGTTACTAACAGCTTGATGTAAGTGCTCGACATATACTGCAAAGCAAAGACAGGCAAGATAAGTGTGTTTACATAGACATATTCCAGCTCTTATTGTGTTTTTGTATTTTGTTGTAGTATCTCAGTTATGTGTTTGAACATGTAAACATCATATCTCTGTTTCAGCCTTTATCCTGGTTTTGAGAAACCCAAATATGCTACCTGTAGTACTCAGATAGAAACCTGTTTGCCCTGGTAGCTCAGCGGGAGCCCTATGTACCAGGGCTGAGTCCTTGTTGGGTTCAAGTCCGACCTGTGGCCCTTTGCTGCGTGTCATCTCCTCTCTGTCTCCCTCTTTCCTGACTATCTTGACCTGTCCTATCCAATAAAGCCCCAAAAATGCACTGGAGGAAAACAGTCAAGGGATTACCAAAGTTAGTAGGCTTCATCCTCTGGGGAATATGAATATATTTCATGGCAATCCATCCAGTACTTGTTGAGCTATTTCAGTCTGGACCAAAGTGGCGGACGCGGAAACAGTTTTTTCCGCCTAGGCCAATGCCAAAAGCTAAACACAAGTGGAAAAACTTGACCCCACAAAAATTTACCCATAAAAGTACAAACTCCAAAAACAAGTGAC